TTGGAGTCCGTTTTATTATGCAGGTTATACCCATTCCGTGAGAAACAAATCCGCGAGGAGCAGGTCGGATTTCGTGCACATCGTGGCTGAATAGATCAAATCTTCACTCTCCGTCAGCTACTAGAACACCGCCACACATACAGACGACAAACCATTGTCGTGTTTTTAGACATCAGAGCGGCTTTCGACTCTATCGATCGCCCCGCACCATGGAACTGTTCGCGGAGATACGGGGTGCCCGAGAAGTATGTCTCAATCCTACAAGCGCTCTATTACCAGACCTCAAGGAAGGTTAGGGCCTATGGTGAATTCTCACCCTCATTTCCTGTCACCAGTGGGGTACGACAGGGTTGCCCTCTCTCTCCGTTTCTCTTCAACTTTGCCATAGATAATTTCCTACAAAACGCGTTACATAACGTAACGAACGCTGGTGTCGAGCTTCTTCTTGGGGACAGAGTCGTAGACTTAGAGTATGCCGATGATATTGCCTTACTGGGTGACAACGCACCCACGGTTAAAGAGTCGTTGAACCGTTTGGCAATTGAGGTTACTCGCAATGGAATGTTCTTTGCACCTTCAAAGTGCAAAGTGTTGTTGCAAGATTGGCAGGAGCCCATTCCTGCACTTTCGCTGGATAATGACACTCTGTAAGTAGTCGAAAGCTTTGTCTACCTTGGGAGTTGCATAACGGCTGGCGGAGGTGTGGGTGAGGAGATCTCTCAACTCTTGATCAAAGCTAGATTAGCGTTTGCTAATCTGCTGCATCTCTGGCGCCGGCGCGACATACCCCTTTCACTGAAAGGGCGTGTGTATTGCGCAACGGTACGCACCGTGTTGCTCTATGGCTGCGAGACCTGGCCTCACCCAGCAGATCACGTCCGGCGACTATCAGTCTTCGATAACCGCTGTCTGCGCAACATCGTCCGTCTATAGTGGGAGCATCGTGTGAATAACGATGAAGTCAGAAGACGGGTGCTAGGATCAGATAGCCTTCCTTTGAGAAAAATCATTTCACTGCATCGTCTTAGGTGACTAAAGCACGTCCTAAGAATGCCTGAACAACGTATGCAACACCGTACTTTATTCGCAGGCATCGGTCTAGGCTGGAAGAAACAGCGAGATGAGCAAGCTAGGACGTGGCGCAGAGGGTTAAAGAGATTGTGCTTGGATCTGGCTTCCGTTGGGGTTTCCCGGCTCCCCTGATGGGGCCCGAAAGATCCAGATTGTCTTTGGCTGGAGGCACTGCGGGATATGGCATCGAACCGAAATCAGTGGGGTGAATGCATTCTCTCCCGTTTGCAATCCCAAAAGTAAACAAAAAACGAAAAGAGCTCACAATGAGGTGCAGTCAAACACCGAGGTTGACTGTTTTATTTTCCCCGCTTTTGTACCTGTATTTTTTCGTTTACCCATGGTTATTTTGGCGCCGTATCTGTAAAGATTGGTGTTATATATATAATCGCTTTCCCATTGTCTGCCTTTTTCTTTGGTTTTTTTGTTTTCTGTTGTTACTATTTTGGTTTCTGTTCTTCTAAAACCTCTTCGGCGGCTCGTCTCTCTCTTGACCTATTCTCGTTCTCAGATGGGCAGTTATACTTATCAAGTTTCTACCCCCAGATGTTGAACTTCTATCTTTCTTCTTCCCCATAACTGCGAAATTGTTGTATTCTCTTCCCATCTCTTCATTTCCAATCACTTACGATCTTACTCTTTTCAAAACGGGATTAAAAAATTGGTTCTCACCTGAATGTTCCTCCACATACCTTTCCTTTTACAGTATGTCATTGGCTATGAGGTTTACTCCTTTTACCATAAATCCCTTTGTATGTAATAGAGAAATACCAAAGGAAAATGATCTCGACATGCTTCAGTTAAGTGGCATTGTATACGAATACTATGAGGGAGAAGCGGAGAAAAACAAAACCCTTGATGTGTAAAATAAGGAACTTTGAAAATTGAGATACTGGAAGAGGGGGGGGGGGACAGACTGGTGAGCAGTTTTAAAACCGCCATGTACCAACCGACGCTACCACTAATGCTAATTTCAGCACCAGATGAACCGTATAGATGAGTGAACATAACTATGGGAGCAATTTACGCTTAAAAGTGACGCTATATTCTGTCTGCGTACTCTCGCATTGCAGGTGTTTCAGTGTCAAATGGGAACTCGGGTTTCAACAAAGCACAAATTAATCAGCCAATTGGAAAGTGCTGACAGTATTCTGAGGTTGGTCCCAAACTCTCCACCTGTACATCTTAACAGAGATGTTTTAAATGCTGTAGCAAAACGGCCGACAGCGTTAAATTTGGAACCGTTGGTAGAGCTCCTTTTGGAAACAGATCAGCAGCTAAAAAATACTTTGATGGAAGGTTGGTCATATTTTCACGTCACTATTCAAACACATTTCAGTGGAGACTCAGAATGAACTACAAAAAAAGATTGACGCGCTTCGTGCCGACTGTGCGAAATCAGACAAACAGATCATCGCTTGTCAAGTGCAGTTGAGGAAAGCCGAAATCCTTTTGGTAAGTGTTGCTCACCCAATAACCGTCGTCTCAAGAGTACTGCTCTCTACTATTCACGCCAAAAGTTGGACACAATGGCCACAGCTGTGAAGAATCCAATAGAAGTCGATGAACTGGTTCGTTTTGCCCATCGTATCAGCGCAACGCATGGAGTCAGTGCGCCAGAAAATTGGGTTCAAGGCGATCCACGAAGACCGTATCCAAATCGAGAAGAAATCAGACGCGGTTATTTGGGTCATTTGGATGACAACGGGCAATTCCGATCCACCTTGTGGGATGCTTTAGCGGAAACGGCAACTGTTGCAGCAAGCTCGTCCCATGCCACACCTTCCAGCACATCTGCTACTGGGATGAGCACGACCTCCACTCCTGGAATGAATCCTGGGTCAAATCTTCCTCATATGCCGAACCAACCGGCAAACTCTGTCACTCATCATGGAACGGATTCACTTGGGTGTGAGTCGGAAATGCCCGTTAGCTGATGAAATGTTTTCCAGTTCCGTTCGTTTTTTATGCGTGTGCGCAGTGATGTAAATGAACAACAGGAGAAACATAAGGGTTTTAAGGAACTTGAAACATTGGGTCCCCTTATCCAGTTCGTTAGAACCGATAGAAGACAAATACTGCGAGATGTTAACATTTCTTTTAATCTCTTCAGTTGTTGCAACGTTCAAGTTACGTAATAATGGCTCGAACGACATTTGTGGATCAACGATGTGTCCAGTTGCCATCAGATGTTTTGCGATTGATGACCCTGGATTTCTTCTATCGGTTTAATCTCTAAGACTTTGTTGCGTCATCGATTGTACCAACCATTTGGGAATGTGTTCAAACATCCGTTGTGCCAGGGGCCGATTCGTCCTGCCGATGTAAGTGTCATCACAACTACAGGTGAACTGGTAGACGATATGTGAAGCAGAATTGTTCGACTGGTTCTGTTTTCGATTGTTGACTATTGTCCGTTTTACCACTGTAGTTATCAAAACTTGCTTGTATAAATACCGGATTGTTTTACGTTGTAGCGGCTGAAGAGATTAAAAGAAATGTTAACATCTCGCAGTATTTGTATTCTATCGGTTCTCACGAATAAGGGTTTTAATTTTTTTATAAATCAAAGTATTTTACTTTGGTAGGCGTAACAGAAGTTGATTGCTTTGCGTAAACTGAAGTCGGCATTCATTATCCTCATAAATAAAGTGTTTAGACCTAAACCATGACAAAATGCATACTACTTCGTTCAAGGTTGCGTTCTTGGTTGCACGTGTTATCTATGAAATGTTTTTTAGAAGGCGGAAAATATCCGATTTCTCTTTTTTCCATGCCCTTATAGTGTCCAATTCTCCAAACATGATCCTCCCGGGAGTAAATATGGTATCATCTCCCGTCGCAGCGCCTCCGACAAATCCTAGTACATGGACTGGTTCAAACGCTGCCGCAACTTCAGGCACCCCTAGTAGCGCCGAGTTATCAAGTCCGCAAGCTAGCTCCAATCGCCCACCAGCTAGTTCACTGTCTGCCATGTTAGCCGGATCTGGTGTTGGTGAACCTCACCCGCGTGTCGGTCCAGGATTGGCACCACCCCCACCTCCGCTACGCACGATCGCAAGTCAGCCGGTTCTCGGAGGGACCACAGGCAGTCGTAGTGCACCTGGTGTGGGGAAGTTGCCAGGTGTAGGTCATCGGTCTGCTTATGCATTGTCTCCGGGCGTGTCTGTACCTCAGCAACAACAGTCGATGCACGCCACTTCCCACCCACAAATTTATGCTGAACCGCACGCTACCTCAACCGCTTCACCCAAAGCATATGCTGTGCAACGCAAACAGACAAAGTATAAGTCGCATCATCCGGAGGACGTGGGCACCATGTCGTCTGACACGTCGTCTGACTCCTCAAGCGGTGATGACTGACACCTGGCGTTTACCTGTACATTCTGTTGTTCCTTTTCTTCTTATCTGATTATGTATATAAACTTAAGATTGTGTCTCTGTTAAATTGCAGTCGATCCCTAATGTTGCACCCCTCGGGAATTCCAAAAAAGACTAAATTTCAGAAACTGCGACATTAAATACGTAATTTTAAGTAGTGTGGAAAATCTCACGGGATAGTTGTGACAAAATAAATGGGCTCGATAAAAACTACATTACTTTCGATCTGTTTTTCCCTTGTGAATCATTACCTACTGTTTGGTTGAAGCGGAACGTGAAATACCCGGTGTCATATTAACTTGAGGAAATTAAAGCATCTCATGATACGCTCCGCCTGACATATGAACAGTACATTCGGTACCCAGTCCTTTTTCGGTTTCAAGTGTCTCTTTGTCCCAAACAAACTTAGACTTCGTTAAATACGAAATTTCAACGTAGTGTTCAAGTCAAATCAAAGTAAGCACCGGTAGGGTGAATTTTCAGCGATTTTTTTTCACGATAATGCAGTGGAGCTGAGGTGAATGGCCTCCGAGTGTGAATAGGTTAATTAAAAAAACAAACAGAAAACTGAACGCAGGAAAACGATAGAGACGGATAAAAAAGGAATAAATAAACTAACTCATGAGATGTTCAACCAAACCTGTAATAATAGGTACCCGATTTACTAACAAGTGAGCAAGAAAAGGGAGGATACTGTTTCTGTGTGCGACGGTGCCTGCGGGAAGCAGCCTATAATGAGAGCGGGTACGGGGGTTTGACGTGGATTTAGTAAGTTCTTTGTGCAAGCAGTGATCTTCGTTGTTCAAGATTCGGTCAGCTATTCTTTCACATGCGTCGAAATGTTTGCACGCAATGCCGCTACATCGAGAAAGGAGTGTAATAGACCTGGAAATTAATACGAAATCTTTTTCTTTTAAGCCGGGAAAAAATACAGGGGAACAGTAGAGCCAATGAGGGAGAATGCATGCTATCACGAATTTTAAAAGTACGTTTGGGGAAACAGCAAGCTTCCGAAGCCTCAGGCTCACCACAGACTTGGATGCATGACTTCCATCATGATATGCGACGGTTTCGGTCATAATGACATCATAAAATGAGACAGTTGGCGATTCAGATTGAATCGTACATACGTGACTTGATGTTGGAGTCGTTAGACAATCCGCGTTTGAGATAAAACTACGGAATCAAGAATAAGTGAAATGTCTGCTATTGGGGATACATAGAACAGTTACTGCCTATCCAGATTCCATGCTCCCATTGTTCGAAGTTTCATTTATTCCTTTCTGGGAATCCTGAGGCCGCGGTTTCCGGTCTTGCTGGTGTTAGCGTGGCCCTAAGTGAGAGAGCTGAACTCGCACCCGCAGATTGGACCCCAATCGACAGTACGTTATGCGCAGTGAGACTCAGAGGTTCGTACAAGGTAAGCAGCCGTCGCCATGGTAGACGAAACTTGTTTGTCGTATCGGCGCACGATCCAACGGACTGCAGCCCAGATGCAGTCAAAGATGAATTTTGTCATAATCTACATGATTTCTTGCGTAAAGCGGTTCGGGCTGATATCGTAATTTTAGCAGGACATATGAACGCTAGATTAGGCCGGTTCGCCTCGAGTGAGGGGAATCTGGGAGGTCCTTTCGGACTAGATTCCTGTCGCTCGGCAAACGGGGAACGGCTGTTAGCTCTATGTCCTGACCACCGCCTACTCCTCGTCAGTACAAACTTCATGTGTCCCAACTGCATGTGCACTAATTGGCCAGCGACGGATATACATCGACCACATCACCATAAATCACAAATAGCGGGGCTGCATTCAAGACTGTCGATCGTACTGGAGCAACCCCTCGAATCCGAACACGCATTAGTATGCGCCAAGCTGTGTGCTTCGGTGGGTGTTCCAAACGCACGATACAACGACGGTTAGACTGTGGTAAGCTGTTCAAACCAGCTTGTCTAGCTGTCTTCCAAAACGCGCTTACTGAAAAGTTGGAACCAACCGCACTCGATAACATCAATCAGCGCTAGTCGCTTATCGAGAATGCTCTGCATTCCGCTGGCTTAGTTGTGGTCTGACGTCGTGTCGTGACAACCTAAATTTATGCGGAGTCTCTACTCCTTGACGCACGTCGGTCCATTCCGACCGGCAACGAGCATAATTAAACACCTCTCGTGACGAGACGTGAATTTATTACCAGCCTCTGCAGAGACCGCGAGATCTGGTGGATTCAACGCGCGTCTGCGATGAAACGTGCTGCCGCGATGGGAACCCCCCGTAAACTGTTC